CCCCCCCCCGGCGGCCCTGGAGAGGAACAGCAGCCAGGCCCGGAGGGGAAGGACCCAGCGCTGCTGGGACGAGTGAGCAGCCACAGCCTGGCCGTGCCAGCCAAGAGGGTCGTGCCCGGGCCCCGCTGACCCCGGCTACCAGGTAAGGCCGGCTCAGCTGGCACTCACCTCTCACCTGTACGGGCTCAGGGTGGAGCACCTCCTCAGAGGGGTGGGGCCTCCGTGCCAAGGAACCGGTTATGTGGGGTGAACTGGCTGGGGGAGGACAGCCTGCAGTACCCCCAGACCCTGCTGAGGCTGCCGCCTGGCCTGTGGCAACTGCTGTCACCAAACGTAATGACGCTTCATGCTGCGAGGCCGGGGCACTGGTGACATCACAGTGATGTCACCGTGACTCACGGCGGTCACCGGCAGGAGGCAGCAACCCCTGAGCCTCTGTGGCATGTCACTGCGAAGTCATCCCACCACCCCCCCTGGACTGACCAGCAAGTCAGGGTCAGGTCACCCCTGGGGGGCCTCCTGGGCTCCATGGGGTCACGTGGCCAGCGTCTTCCCAAGGCCCTGGGCTCCTCCGTCCGTCGTGAAGGTGAAGGGCCAGGCAGCCCCTTACCCGCCCTCCTCCAAGCAGGAGCCACGTGGCTGCCTGGGCAGGAGACCTGGGCCCCGTGAAGGGGCAGCAGGCAAGGGGGAGAACGTCCCACTGCCTCCTGATGGCAGCTGCGGCTGGTGTGACCCTCCCAGGTGGCGGGTCGGCCTAGGGAGGATGGCTGGGGCTCGTCCAGCACCCCGCCCCCCGCTCCCCTGGCCACAGGCTGAGGATCACTTCCAGGCCCTGAGGGCCAGCACCAGGCGGCCCTGCAGGTTCAGGCCGTGGCTGGGGGACAAACCTCCTCTTCGGGCCACGGCCACCACCCTTGCTCGGGGCCCTCCAGTCTCCCGCAGCACATCCAGCTCAGGCCGGCTCTAGATCCAGAGTCCCAACCCTCACCCAGCCAGGCCTGGCACCCACCCTCACACAACTGCCCTCAGATCGGGTGTGCGCCAACCAAATCAGCCGTCCACACTGGGATGTGTGTTCAAACCCACTTCACCTGACCCAGAGCCACACTCCTCCTGTGAGAGCCCGGGCCCCGCTGGCTGTCACCCCAGCCTCCGAGCCGCCTCTTCTGCACCGTGGCTGTGCTGTATCACGTGCCCAGGGCCCACCCTGGCAGACCCCCGATGTAAATAGTAACTGTTGTGGGCCATTGTCATCATCACCTTTATTTCTGCCCAGTGGCACGTCCAGGTAGGCCAGGGCTGGTGGGAGGTGTCTACAGAGCAGTGGTCCACAGGGCCCAGGCAGGCTGGGACACCCCAGGATGCTGAGCCCTGACTCAGCAGGAGAGGGGCTGGGGAGCACAGGGTTACAACTTGAGCAGAAAGACCTTGAGCCAGGGACAGGTGGGACTTGGTGGAGGTGCCTGCAGATGGGCAGTGTCCTTCCCGGAATCTCTGGGTGATGCAAGAGAGGGACGGGGAGACAGCGACAGACAGACCTTGCAGGAAAGGGGCAATCGAGATCACTCACAGGGGTCTCTGTTTGTCCCACGGCCCAGAACCATGTCATCAGGCCCGCAGGTGTGGCACACGGCCCTGCCACCTGCCGGCAGGAGCAGCCCCACCGCCACAGTGCCCAGGTCCCGCGGCTCGGCCGGCAGCCCCAGGTCCCCCGGCAGCCCTGGATCAGAGAAGGCGGCCTCCCCGCTGGAATGCTCCATCTGCTTCTCGGGCTACGACAACATCTTCAGGACACCCAAGGAGCTCTCCTGCACCCACGTCTTCTGCCTGGAGTGCCTTGCGCGGATGGCAGCCGCCCGGCCCACAGGCCAGCCGGGTAGCGAGGTCGTGCCCTGCCCGCTCTGCCGGCGGCCCACGGCCATGCCCGCTGCCGGGCCCCCCGCGCTGCACACCAGCCGCCAGCTGCAGGCTCGGATGCCAGCACACCTGCGGCAGGAGGAGCCCGTGTGGCTGGAGGGCACCAAGCTGTGCTGCTGCCCGCCGCCCTCTGCGCCTGGTCTTGCGGCGCCCGGCTTCGTGTACGTGGACGTGAGCCCGAGCAAGCCCGCCACGCCCGCAGCGCCCGTGCCCATGCCGGGCCCTGCCCGCCGTCGGTGCTGCCTGGCCCGCTGCTGGGCGCGCCGCAGGGACTGGAGGCGCGCGGCACTCATCGCCGTGCTGCTGCTCGCACTCTTCTGCGTGGTGCTCTGGCCCGTGCAGTGCGCGCTCAGGACCGGGAGCCTGCACTGCCTCCCCCGGCCGCCCCCCGCCGCCGCCGCCGCTGCCACCACCTTCTCCCTCGGGTCCCTAGCTGACAACTAGGGTTACCGCCCCCACCCCCGGGATCCCAGAGGAGCCCCCTGGGAATCTCTGAGGAACCCACACCTGGTTTGGCACACCTGCCCCCGCTCTCTGGGGCTGGCTGCTGTCGGGTGGACAAAACGGTCGCCCGAGCTCCCAGGGATCACAGATCCCTATGGGCCCCAGAGGCCGCCCCCCTAACTTCCATCTTGCAGATGGGGAGACTGAGGTCCAGGAGAGAGCTTGGCGAGGCCCCCTCCCCGTACACACTGTGAATCGCTCGCCAGACCAGCCCCTTGCTGAAAAGGGAGCGGGCTCGCCATCTTTCTTTTATTTTCACATTTCGCCCACGGCTCCTCCCTTCCCCAGGCAGGGCTGGCCCCTTCCCTCGGGTGGCCAGGGGGACAGCGGGCGGTGGCGGGGAGCCCAGCCCACCCTCCAAACTGTACATTTTAAAATAAACTATTTTGTACTCGCAATTGGTAAGGGGTCCTCACCCTCTGTGTCCTCTTTCCTGCACCATTAAGCCCCTCCCTCCAGAAAAGACCCCAGTCTGCCCCTTCTGCAAAGACCCTCAATCCAGAAGACACCCCCACTGGACTGCACTCCCAGCAGCACCTAGGGTGGATGGCCGCAGGTTCTAGGGCGTCCGACTGCTGTCCCCTCTGGGCTGTGGATGGGCTGCGGCACTTCTGGACTTGGCTGCCCCCGGGGGGCCGTGAGGCTCTCCCAGGGAGATGGAGAGGGCCTGGGGCACCTGGGGCAGGCGGGACTGCTGTGGGGCCTTGGCCTGGTCCAGGGTCCTCCCCCCCAGCCCCCACCACGGTCACACCAGGCCGCCTCCCCAAGAAGTCACGGCCCCACAGTCCCGCCTGGAGCCCTGACTGGAGGGCCACAGGACCCCGTGGAACCGAACGAAGCCCAAGTGTGCACGGAAGAGGGGCTGGCGACAACCAGCGTGTCCTGAAGACCCACAGACCTCAGGCTCCTCCAGCAGACCCTCCCGGGCCGGGCCTGGCTGGTGAAGCGAGTGTCGCGAGGGTGGGCGGGAGTCGTGCCAACCCCCACCCCTCCCCCACCCGGTTCTGCCCTCAGCCCCAGGAATCCTGCACCGCCAGCTTGGCATAGCAGAGAGGCCAGGCCGGTCCGGCTCGCACAGGTCCAGCCTCCTCACCCCTCACCCCAAAGCCCAGGACTTCCTGCTCCTACCAGCTGGGCCTCTGGCTCAGGGACACCCTAGGGAAGCTGGGCCCAGTCGTGGGGACCCACATGCTCTCTTTCTCCAGGCCCCGACAAAGACGCAGAACTGAGAAGGCGGCATTTTACTGAGGAGACCACAAAGCCACAGGGACATCCGTGTTGGGAGGGTGCAGCCGTGGACCACAGGCCAGTGACATCACACCATCACAAACCAGTCAGGCACACATGGAGCCTCGCCCTCATCACTGTGGTCACACGAGCACGTCACATATTCTCTCATTCAACAAACACGTGTCCACTCATGACAGCTATGTGACGGTCTGGGCTAGGCCTGGACACGGCAGGGACTGAGCCACTGCCTGGCCCACATCCTAGACCGCGGCTGTGGGCAGGCCTGAGAAGCTGCTTTGAAGGGATGGGGGGCGTGCAGGATGCAGGGGAGAGGGGCACAAACGCTGGTGACCACAGACTGGCACTCACTTGCTGGTCACTCGTGTCCCACATACAGGCTGAAACTCAAACGTGTGACACACACAAGGTCACACATCGTCACTGCGCCGTGCAGGTGGTCACTGGTGGCCTCCCACACTGAGACAAACCGCAGCCCTGCAGCCCTGCCTCCCCTCCTCCAGGAGGGGCAGGGACACCGGATCTCCTGACCTTCCCTCACCATTTCTGGACGCGCAGACCTGGTCAGGGAGGGTCTGAGGGGCAGATCCGGGACCCCCGCCCCCCAACCCCGCAACGCTCTGGGCTGGGCGCCGGTCTGCACAGTCCTAAACACAGTCCTTTGGAGGAACGCGAGGGCCGGCCTTGCTGGGCTCCCGCCTTCTCGCACGGCTCCAGTCCCACTCGGGGCGCGCGCACTCGGGTCCCTCACGGCCAGAGGCGCAGCAGGTTCTCGTACACGTGGCCAGAGGCCTCCGGGGTGCTGCGGGCGGAGACGGGCTTCGGCTGGGGGCCACCTGCGATCCCGCCCCCTCGCCCAGGGCCAAGCCACCGAGGCCTCCCTGCCGGGACTCCGCCCCACCCCCACCCCTGGTCCCCGACGCCCCACTCACGCCGCCGGCGCCCGGGACGGCGCGGGCCCGGGGCTACAGCCGGGGGCGGCGGGCGAGGCGCCCACCTTCAGGCAGTCGCGCTCCTCGGGCGGCTCGCGCTGAGGGGAGGGGCCACTGGTCACCACGGTGATGCCCCCGCAGGTTCCGCCCCGGCCCGGCCCTGCCCCCACCTGCTCGCGCAGGCGTAGCCGCTCGCCCCGGATGTACCGCTGCAGCGCCAGGTACACGAACTTGTACTGCGCCTCGCTCTGCACCATCCCCGAGCGCTGCCGCCGCACATGCTGGATCGTCTTGGGGACGTCGATGTCGCAGTCCAGCCCTGGGGACGAGCGAGCTCAGGGCGGGGCGGTGAGGCAGGGAGGAGGCACAGGTGCCTGGGAAAAGGAAGAAAGATGGTCTGGGGGAGAGAGCAGCTTCCTGGGAAGTGAATTCTATTTGGGAAAGGCCAAATGCAGAGGCTTGCAGGACCCCCCCAGGTGCTTAGACAAAGGGAACTGGCCAGGAGGGATCTGTGCCTGGTACAGGAATGGGCACCACCAGCATACAAAGGAGGCCGAAGGTGCTGAGACGGCCCAGGGAGGGCTGGGGGGAGAGGTGCATGTGGGTGTGAGGCCGTCCTGGAGCCAGGCAACTGTGGCTGAGCACGTGCCTGACTGGAAACACTGCCCAGCAGAGCCCAGTCCAAGACTGTGCCCACTGGATTGAGGGACGTGGAAGCCACCAGGGCCAGCCCAGGGCCTCCTCACCCCAGCGCAGACCTGGGGACTTCCCGACCACTCTGACCCTGGCCCCACAGGTCTCGTTGCCCTCCAGGCTCACCTGGTCTGCCCGCCACACCTGCAGCTCCCTCACACAATAGCCCTGGGCCTGGTGCTCAGCAACGTTGCACACACGCAGGCGGCCATACTCTTGGCTGCCGTGCAGCTCTGGCCAGTATCGGAAACACTTGTTCTGGGAGGGTGGGGGCATGGCATCAGCCATACTGGAAGACCACCAACACCCTTGCCGCTCTGCCCCATGGGACACACACGGGGTCTCTTCACTGCCCTCCCTGCTCCCCCAGCATCCCTAAGACTGAAGAAGCCAGGCTGGGGCAGCACCAGCACCGGTCCAGTGGGGCACGCGGCAGGCGGAGGGGTGGGACACGAGCCTGAGCCCCTACCCGGCCTTGCTCCACCTCTCTGGTGGTCATGACGATGACACGCGTGTTCTCCTGGTGCACCATGGCCCAGAAGGCAACCACCGTAGTTGGCAGACAGCCCTGGGTGGCGATGTACACCTTGCCTGGTCCGTGGCCTGGCTTCTCTGGGTCACTCTGAAAGGAGGCGGGGTCAACTGCCTGCCGTTTCCAGGAATTAAAGTGCCAGAGGACCAATGCAAGTTGATGCAAATGATATGCAAAGTAGCCCAATGGCTCACACGCAGTCCGCCGAGGGTGGGAGGGTCTTAGGACCAATATTTAGTCCAGCAGGTTCTGAGGACCCCTCTGAGGACCCCTTGTGGACTGCCACACCCTGAATATCTGAATATCCCCCTGAATATCTGTTGTCTTGCCAAGGTCCACAGATCACTTCACGAGCTCCGGGCTCATTATTATGGGGGATGGGGTGACTGGTGTTTGATCCACGCGGGGCCGTGCGTGCAGCTGGCCACCCACACCTCATGCATACTCACCCTGACGTGGTCGGCGTTGATGTAGTCGGCTCCAGGCGCGCTGTCCTCCACATCACGCAGGATGACACGGGCGGTATCAACTGGGAAGGGAAGATGCCGCTTGGGTCTCCAGGGCAGAGGGGTCGCTCATGGACCCCACCTGCTTCCTGGCCCGCTGACCCGTGGTGAGCAGAGACAAAGGACAGAGGGGCAAGAGGGGGCATCACACCACCGGTGGGGAATGACCCCTGCCTTCACCCTCCAGGACCCCTCTGCCAGGTGGGCCCCTGAATGTGGAGAATGGAGCCCTGGCCCCCATGCGGCCCCAGGCCCCGGCCTCACAGGGGAGGATGTTCTTGTATCGGTTCTTGGGCTTGCTCTCCAGCCGCTGGCCCTCCTTCCGGGGATGCAGGAGCCGGGATTTCTGCTGCTGG